TTTTTTTTTTTTTTTTTTTTTTTTTTTTTTTTTAACCATTTGGAAAACCCCCCCGGGGGTTAAAAATTTCCCCCCCCCCCCCCCCCCCAACAAGACTGTGTAGCACACTTGTCCTACAGACACTTGGAGTTTCCCTTTGTGTTCGGTCCCTGCCTTCAATGAAGGGATAGGAAGACTCTCAGCTGAACTTCACCACCTTTCTTGTGTGTGACAATCAGGAAGGATCATAGGAGGGATCCAGTGTGTTTTAAGGGGCTGCACTTCTTTTCTCTCACCACAGGGTGACATTCTTTCACCCTTATCATTGAACTGGGCCATATTTCTACAGGAAAGGGCAATGGACAGCTCAAAGGAGCAGATTTCAGAAAGGCAAGTGGGGTGAGTTGAGAGTTTTCTTATCCCATCCTTGTTTCTCTAGGGGAGGGAAAGTCCGATAAATCCACATCTTGCTGGTTGTATGTATGTGTTTTTATGGACTCTTGTAGGAAATGGATCACAGCATGATATATTTAAATTTTTGGCATCCCATGCATCATAGCTGTCTGAAATTAGGGCAGTCCCTCAGAAACCTATCAAATCTCTTCACCTTTTGCCTTCAGTAGGGGGATGACTAGCTCTTTGCTCACTGAATGCCATGCTGATGCTTACAGCTATGTGAAAATACCACCTTCCTTAACAAGGATGTAGATAACTACTTTCTACTGAATAAACAAATAGCAGATAGGGACTGCTGGTGAGACAGGATAGTACTATCTACAAATTCTCCAGGCCATTAGGTCACTTATCCATGTGTCCATGAAATTAATGATATCATGGAATATGTTTTCATCAGAAACAACATGCTAGCAATATGGTACTAGAGCTTCTCACCTGCCTACAGAAACCCGTGTGTAAAGCACAAAAAAATCTGGTTTTGGAGCTACCTGTATTAGAACATGAAGGTGTGACTGCCTGAAAATAAATACAAACCTGCTCAGGAAAATTTCTGTTACCATCTCAGAAAATTCTTTGGCCCTGAGAGGCCTGACAAACTAACCCACAAACAAGCACGCAACACTTGAATTGATCCATGTAATACGTAGGACTAGGTACAATCCTGACAGTCAGAGTCTGGATTTTCTGCAAAGAAATGCCAGTGGAAAATGCATTATGCTTGGAAAGCCTTTGGGATTGTTGCACCAAAGGCGTAACTTACTCACTGTCTCCTTATGCTTTTTTGAGGAAATGGACTAGAAATAATCCTGTAACAATACAAACAATGTAACCTTTTTCTGGCTACATGAGTGCAAAGCAACTGGTTGTGCAGTCTGGGGAGCAGAGGACTCACTTTTTTGAAGAATGTAGAGCAGAGGTGTACTGGGGCAGCAGCTGCACAGCTGGCCAGAAATGATGGCAGCTTTTATTTCTACATTGCTCCCTAGTATGGGTTAGCACTCAGGGCTGCTGCCTCAGTTACCCCGCTTAGTTATGCTACAGATGTGGAAAACAGAAATTCTGCCTTAAGGACTTTTTTGCTGATCTCAGCTACCTGACTAAGGGAACTGTATGGACTAGTTCACATACACTAATTTCATGCCTTGGCAACTATTTTTATACATTTGCAACAGTTTTATTCATCTCTGGTGGCAGAAAACTTCTGTTGTACAGTAGAAAGCTCAATTGTTGCAGAAGACTCTGCAAGTTATGATTTTAATCCTTAATATGTAAAAAGTGTTTGTAATCCCAAAAACATTTTTCAAAAATTAATATAATTCTGGCAATGTGCCTGCAGAGGTTGGTCTGATGCAGCTTATGAATATGGCAGAATGCTTTTCTGAGGAACCATCAGTATTGTCATATCTGTATTAATGATAACCACTAGATAATAAAACAAGCCTTTTGATTTATTGGCAAGAATTCCTTTATACTGGAATTATTTTAAAATTGAGACGATGTCATTCCCAAGCCCCGTGTGTTTATTTTTAAATGAAAATTCATACTGGTGGTAGCTTTTCTGTTTAACTGTGTCCATGACATCTTTTTTCTTTTATTTTTTTTAAAGGGAAGAGGTAAATACACCCACAGACACGCTTATACATGTGTTTGTATATGTGCAGGCAGGCAGGTACACACAAATATATACATATATCTTATGTGCATACACATCTTTATCTATGCACACAGGCACACACACAAATAATCTCTCTCTATACATACTCATATTCAATTAATTAGTTAGAAAGGATGATCTTATGGCTAAGACATGAGGGATAGAAATTAGGTACTGTGGGAATTAGGTATTCTTGCTTGTGAGACAGTCTTTAAGTGTGACTTTGGGTTACTCACTTAACCTACGTGTGCCTCGGTTGCCCCACCTGTAAATGGGAATGATAATACCTACCTCGCATGGATATTGTGAGGCTAAATTTATTAATGTTTATTCAAGACTTTCTGAATGAAAGATCTTTCTGAGTACAAAGTATTAATAGTTCATTTTTCCTTTTTAATCATCATTATTAATACTATTGTTAAATGTAACATTTAAAAGCCGCCATTGTTATGTGCAAATGAAGAAATCCATATTCTGCACAAGGTAAAAGTGTTAAAGAGCAAAATGTAATATGAGTCATAGTGTTTATGGAACAGATAATTATTATGTCATGGCTTTGCGACATTGGCACTAACTTTGCTGATCTTCATGCTAATCTTTTACATTGCTTTGCATTCCCTAGTATTATTGGGCTGACAGCCTTATAATGTGGCTTTCCTGATATCTCAGCCACATTAATAGCAGTGCCAATACTTGACTTATATAGTAAAAACCAAAACAGAAAACTTGCAATGTGTTGACCTCATTTCCACATTCTGGCTTTCCTAAAAAGTCAGGTGTCTGAAGCTGAGGCAGGTCTGTCAGATTACATACCCTATCTACACTATGAGGAGGAACTTTCTGGGCTGATTGCAGACAGTGGCATTTCATTTTTCAAATGCAGCCTTGGGAAAGTATTGCAATATACACATGAATATGGAGAAGAGGGTAGGGAGGCCCCCATGCACTGCATAAATTAATTTCTCAAAAGGGCAAGCTGTAACTTCCCAGGTGTGCATGTTATCCTGATGTCACGTAAGTCATTGTTGCTGTTCTGAGTAGTCACATATACTAGTATACAGTGGGCATAAAATGCTGCTACAGCAATAGATGAGTAATATTTTACTCTTCAAATAGTCCTCACAGCAGGCAAGCTATTTCTCTTGAAAAAAGTCAATGGGAAAGTGCTTGAAGAGTAAGATACTGCTCAAGCACAGCCTGTCCCTAATAATATGTTTAATACAGTAGAACCCAGGTGGTCCACAGAGTTAGGTTCCTGAGCCCCTTGTAAAGATGAGGCTTTGTCAGGGGTTATATAGAGATGTGCCAAATAAAGTTGTGGGACTACAGAGGTTGCTCCAGTTGATTGCTGCAGCTTTTGTTTAGGGGGCACTCTTTCTCTGATCAACTGCACAGCACCAGAGCTGTGCTCCAGCTGAGTGGAGAAGAAGCACCTTCTGAAGTAAAACCCACAGCAAGCAGCTGCACAGCCCCTCCTTCCCTTGGCGACCTGCTACAAATTAAGCAGGTTGCAAACCACCTAGATAGGAATGATCTGAGTTCTGCTACAGCTATGTACAAAGTCAGCTGGGGATATTAGATTCAAGGGCAACAAAAATGTACTTAGGGTTACATTATAACACCTATATTCACAATGGGCACATCTACACATGCATTTACATTGCATTAAATTTACTGTGCAGTAAGTTACTGCACAGTAAGCAGAAATAGGCCAGTGTCTACACATGCAGCCATTAAAGCGCATTAATGCTGTGTGTGGTCTGACTTGGGACTAAAGTTAGTCCCATGTCAGTCCACATGCAGTGTTACTGCACAGTAACTAACTGGGCATAAATGTGTTTACCTGCATGATGTAGGTATCAAATTTACGCCCAAGTCGGCATAAGTCACAATAGTAATCATGCAGTATAGGCATGCGCACACTGTGCAGTAATTTAGGTTACTGCACAGTGAATATGCACGTGTAGATGCACCCAATGGGTGGGAATTTACTCCATGATTAACTGTGTTTGCTGGTAGCACTCATGGAGCAAAGAATAAAATGTGTCAGTATATGGCACTAAAATAGTAGGCCCTGGTTTCAGGTAAGATTTTTCCTCTGATGCTCATTCTTTTCTATATTCTTCAGTCCACACCATGGCACTGGCAATGAATTGCACCTTACTTGAGTCATTGGATTTCAGTAGCACTTCTCGGGATGAGGCATTATTTAATGTGAATAAGTGAATAGTTTTATAGTTACTGCTGATTGCTTAGTTGTAGCCAAACCAGTGGTTCCCCATTGCTTACTAAGTAGGGGTCAGTGGTGATGCAAGTGCTGGTGTACTCCCTCACAGCCAGCACTCCCTGGTTAGGCGACAGGCAGGAGGGGCAGGCGAGAGCACTGGTGCCCCCCCATGAGTGCCGGCCAGGGAGTGGGGGTGCCAGGACAGGTACCGCTGGCACCCCAGTTGGTGAGATCAGCCGTGGGGGGACTCCCCCCAGTCGGCGTGATCAGCTGCAGGGCTACCCCCCTCCCCACGGTCAGCGAGATTGGCCACAGGGAGACCCAGCCCTTGGTCAAAGAGATGAGCCATAGGGGAACCCCCCCACTCACCTCCCAGTTGGTGAGATCGGCTGCAACTGGTGACTTAGGAGGCACCAGTTGCCAATGATGGTGGTACAAGAATAAGCCTACCCTAAATTGATGCCAGACGTATTCAGCTTCTTGGTGTGAGAATATTATGTGTCAGTGATATATTACTATAGTGGTTTCCATTCTCCTTTTTTGTCTTGTATGTGAAGAAATAATATTGTTTCTCCAGGGGTAAGAAATACATTCTTTCTTTTTTTTTGCTGTGTCTTCTTGACAATGTTTGGTCTAGGTGTGTTTTGAATTTTTAA